TACCTTTTTATCACCATTACGGGGATAAAGGTAATTTTTTTCATTATTAATGTATTTTCATTTGATATAGGTTGATTGGTATATTTTGCCAAGACAATTCGGAATGGTTTGTTTTTTAATTTATATAAAAGTATAACGGGTAAAACCATGACGAGACATAAATCTTCAAAAAAAAAAAAATAGTGGAACATGGATGAAGAATTAGTGTGCATTAATTGTTGGTTTAGTAATGTTCTTTTGATTGCAGATTTTATAACCTATTGGCTATTTATAAGTTGAAATTATAAACAAATTGGATAATTTAACTATTTGAAATAGGTACTAAGTCAATTAATCTATTTTATACTTTTATTGTTACGTACTTAATCTGATAAAACTTTTTTACCTATTTAGTACTGTGTATTAAATAAATAATATTTTTATAATTTAATCAAAAATGCTCACTTTTATTTTGATTTTTAATAATTTTAAAATATTTATTTTTTAAACAAATTAATATTAATATATATATATTTAAATTAAAATCTAATGCAATTTAGTATACATATGTTTAAGATGCAGTATCTAATGAAATTGAGAAAAAGTCATAGATAAGTATTATAAATTTACGTTACAATAACTAATTAATAAATACACAAAATAATTAATTTACAATATATCTATTTTATTACAAACTTGTATCATATTTATATTATACTTAATTTTATTAGATAATCTAGTTATATGATAAAAAAAAAAATTATGATTAAAAATTCGTAATACATATCAAAATTAAAACCTCGACGCTTCCTGGAAAATTTTTGCCACCGACTAAAAAAAAAATGGCGTAAAGATCTCTTGTTTAAAGACAAAACAATTTTCTATTCTTTTTTTCTCACTTTTTACCTATTTCTGTATATTTCCAAGTTAACTATTAATATTGGGCAACATTAATCAAGTAATTTTGAATTTTTTTTTTCTTTACTTTCTTAACAATTAAATAAGAATGTATAAATCAAAAATATAAATTTATTATTTATCATGGAAATAATTAAAATATCCTTATACTCAAATATCAAGTCTTAGTAAAAACAATTCATAATTCCATTAGAATATTATTAATAATATAATGATAGTAATATTATCGTCACATTATTTAAAAATTTCTCTGATAATAATTTTTTTTTTTTAATGTTAGCAATATTTTAAAATATTTACCTAACGAATCATGTATTATTGATGTTTGTTAGTTGATTGTTTTTCTCAATTTTCCAGAAAATAATAAAAATATTATATCCAATATCCACGTTGCCCACGCATATTTTCAAATTCCAATACATGTATGATTAATTTAGGAAGTATTTCCGATATGGTAATAATACATAGAAATGTGCCAACCATGTCCACTAATTCGATTGAAAAGTTCCAAAGTGATTACAGACTATATACTAAAATAAAATTTTAATATATATACGTATATAAATATATTCATAGTTTTATTAGGTCAATTATCATGTTACAGTCAATTTTTTTTAAAAATGTAATTGTTTTTTACACAACAGCTGAAATGTTTAAGAAAAAAAAAGATATTTTGGAAAAATATTTCAATGAAATGTAAGTAAATAAGATAAATGTGTCTAAAATATAACCTTTAATATCATATAAGTTCTTATTTCACAATTTTTATTAATTTAAGTATTAATGTCTAAAATAGAAATGTACGTATTCTTCTATATAACATTATGTACACAAGTGCAACAAGTACAACAAGTACGGTTTTTTATATATTACTAACTTGTTTATATTTTGCAATGTGGGTCACGTGACGTTTTATATAATATAGATGACCAATAACATCATGACTCCAACTAATTTAATGCAATAAGATTATAAGAGCCAATTTAAAGAATACTCCTATAATATTACAATATAACAATAACCTATTAGTATGTATAGCCTATCTAAAGATTACAATAAAAACATTATTTGTACAATCTTAAGTCAAATAACATATTTTGATTGAAGATATAAATAATATTTTATGTAAATTTCAAAATTTAATTTTGCTATTTATAAGCTTGTTACTTTGGTGGTCGACATACACTACGGTTGCTATTTTTGTACAATTTATTTAGGCTTTACCATATTCAAAAACATATTATATACAATATCGTCAAAGTTTTAAAATATTTATATTAAATTATTATTAGTATTGAAAACATTTTTCGTAGTGATTTTCATTAACATTTAATAATTATATAAAAATAATTTATTGATAAAATAAATAATTGGTATCAAATAATAAATTATCAGTACTGGGATTTAAAAGAAATGTCATATTTTTTCTGGTACTTTAAAACGTATATCATTAAACGGAAAATGTGTTTTAGCTGCTACTAATAAATTTAATGTAATTTTTATTTTGCATTTTGTTAAAAAAATATAACTGTAAACATTAATTTACAATTTATTTTTAAAACTTGATTTTTATTAATTTCATATTATTTAAAATAAAAACTATAGTATTTTTCTACTGTACAGTATAGGTACATCATTTATGAAGCGAAGATTGCTACTGATTTAATTATGAAGTTGCGAACATGTATTTATTGAAAATTATTTTGGATTAACAATCAATACATTAAAATACATTGTTGAATATATAAATAATATAAAATACAAAACAAAAATTAATTTTTAATTTATTTGTTATAAATTCTTTAACTAAGAAACACATTTTCACCTCACCCATACTAATTAAATATAGTTAATAAAGTTAAAGTAGAAGATATAATGTGCAGTTTAAATTAAACATTTTTATGATCCACAAATCGTGAATCACACATATAAATGCAAATAATTGACAATATAAAAATGTAATATATTATTAATTATTATGTATGTATGAACCGTATTGCTTATTTATAGGTGCAGCTCGTGAAATTTCTGATATTAGTCAATTCGATTATATAATAATAAAGTATCATATTGAATTTTCAAGACAAGCCACTTAATTTTCAATATACATTTGTAAATATATGTTTATTAATTATAAAATATGTACTCCCACACATTTAAATCCTATGGATGAACAAAATTGGCATTTGTATGTATAACTTTCACTCAATACACATATACTATTAACAATAAACAAGTAGCCTTAGACGTCGATATTAAAAAAAACAATACAAAATTAAAATAAAAAAATACTTAATATTAATATTTATCATTAATTTCAACAATATGTACATTAAATTACATCTCAACAAATTATTTACTGATTTCTAGGATTAAAAAATGCATAGAATTTTACATTATTCTAAAGGATAAAAATTATTTCTATAATCGATATATTACAATTACAATTTGTTCGAATTATGAGTTGGGAAAAAAAAAATCATGATAAATGCAAATTATTCGTCCTTACATACATAACGTCAACATAAATTGTAATGGACAGAAAACAAATAAATTGATACCATCTCAAAAATAAATTTTATTTCGTTTTGCGTGCACATTTAATAAAAAATTTGAACATACATATAGTTAAAACTTGCAAAAATCATAAATTATTAATATATTATATAAAATTAAAACGGAACAATATTATTAACTATCATATCTCATAAGAATATTATATTGAAATCATCAATAAAATCTATTTTCTTTCTATTATACAGAAAAGGTTTGCTCAACTTAAATGATAATAAATTTATAATATTAAGCTAATAATATTTATATTAGGTTTTCTTAATTTAACCTACACTATAATAGAAACAAATTTATAACATTTGGTTTATAATAATATATTATTACTGTAAGAGTATGGTTTAATAAAATAATGTTAAAACTAGATTATTATTCAAATAATCTTTATAAATTACTCCTATAAATAGGTAAGTAATAGCTATATATATATATATATATATATATATATATATATGTTAAATTTATAATATTTTAATAGATGAAGATTAAAATGTATAACCTTTATAAAAAAAAATAATATGTTATGAATATATGATAATGATTGATAAACTGATCATCATAATACACCATTTATATTCGTATACAAACAAAGTAACGATGCAATACTCATATGTTAAAATTTAAAAAAAAACTTTACAAAAAGTGTAATACGCTGTTCTAAGGGTAGGTAATTTCAATAATAAAATTTCAAGTAGATAAAAAATAAAAAGCTCATAACACTACTAAAAATATGATTTCGATGAAAATAATACTTTTTCCATAATTTATAAATGTGTAATTCAATATTTCAACCACTATAAAAATATTTTCTTTATATATATATTATTTCAAATTCTTAATATATTTCAAATATTTATATAGTTAAAATTCGTATGAAAGCAATGAAAGGACTGTTTTGTAAGTATGTAAATTATAAATTATAAAACGCTTTTAACTTTTAAGTTTAAAACATTTAAGTCTATCATAATAAAATTAGCTATTAATATCGATGTAAATACATAAAGTTTTACTCGATATCCTTAATAAATGTAGAGAATAATAATATTAGATTTTTAAAAATGTTTTATGTTTACTACTATGAATCAAAATGGTAGCTATGATTTTTATTTAAGTTCTATACTCAAACTTGATATACATGAATTTATCTTAAATATTTAATTAAATATACTTTTTAATTATTAGTGAAATTCATTCTTAATTTAAAATTTCCAGTTACGTTAATATCTAAAAAATTATGTATAATATATAATTACTATCATCGATTTACCTCCAATATTTTCAACGCATATAATAATCTATTATTTCATCACATTTAAAATTTATCGATGCATATGTATAGAACTTTGCAAACAATGTGTAAGCTAATGTGCTTAAATGTTTGTGATTGTTTTCTATAAAAAGTTTATTATAACGGTCACATTTTTTTTTTTTTGAAATTACAAAAATAGAATTATTCTACTAGAGAGATACCTGATGACTATGTTTATAATTCGTATACTAGTTTAAAATTAAAACACTTTGATGAGACTTACCGAGTGCTTTAGGAGTGCTGTGGTCACGGCGGCGATTCGATAGCTGAACAACTACCAGTCTGCGGTACTATTAGAGTGAAACAAACGAACGGACACCACTAGAATACGATCACAAACTCCATGACAACAAATTCTGGAATGGTTCCACTACTCGGCGTTTGCTCAAACGGGTCTAGGTCAACTTGATATGAATGCGTACTATGACACATAATATTATGTATGCCGTATGAAAACCGGTACAGTTCTTTGTGCGTATGCAGGCGACACGTTTTGCGCAGGACATCAAGGCCAATACATATTACAGCATTCATATTCACGTTATCGGGGCATTTATCTTTATTTTATAACAATAATATAATTATAAGATTGAAAATCAAGAAAGATCTCCGGCCGGCGTGGCTGCTCGGGAAATCTGAGTATAACCAACGTTGCGGCAGTGGCGTATTTGGGGGCGAAGGGTGGGGGGAGGAGGACTTAGCCACCAAAAAAAGCAATTTGCCACAACACCAAATTCGGAGTTCCGTCATAGAGAGACACCAGTACTCGGGATTTAAAATACCCAATGCGAATGATGAATTTTTATTTTTTCTATACGTAGCATTAATCATCTAACAATTTACATATACCTATTAATAAGATATTCGTGAAAATAAGTATAATAAAATAATTTAAAGTGAGAGTCAAAAGTAAAATTTTGGCATTCATATACTTATAATATAATTTTATTAATTATTCAATCGACAATCATAATATTGGTCTATATCATATTCTCTTATTATAATATTATGAATTTGACATTAAGATATGTCTACATCAAATTATATTATTTTTGACTACAATGACGGTTACAAATTAACAAATTCGAATTTATGAAAAATGGATCAACCAAGTTTTTACCAATACCATAATATTTTTATTTTTTATTTTTTTTTTTTTTGAAGTAAAACAAAAATTAAATAAAAACTGCAAAACGTTTTTACCAATATTTAGTAATAATATTTATTTTTATATTTTATGTAAGTGATTATTAGTATTTCACGTAAAAAAACATGAGCCACAATGTCTGCAATTCGTATGTAAACTGAAAAATATATATAAATCGCAATTCAAAAGAAAATTTAAACGTGGGACGCAACTATAGTATAACCATCCAAAGTTGAAGAGCTTAAATTGTATAAACAAATTTATCGATTTGGAATAATAAAATTTGACAAATTACTGTGGAAGGGGGAGGGCTATTTATAGTATTGTGAGAAGATACATCAGTTTCTCATCTAGCGCCATATAAGTCTAAATAAAAATTAAAAGTGAATAAAAATGGGGTACTATTCATAGTGTACCTGAGGCACCTAAATACACCATTGCGCGGTGGCCATGACGTACACCTGATTTTGCATCAGTTTTTAAATGAAATAATTTAAGTAGGTAACATGTTTTTATTTATCGAATAATATAGCGAAACGAGTTTGACGTCAAGTTTCTACTTACCTTTTCTTTCGCAATTATATGGTTATTTTCTCACTAAATATCACAAGAATGTTAAAAAAAAACTCTGTCAAATTTTCAACCAAAATACTATGACATTTATAAAACGTTTAATCTATTTTGAACAGTGATTACTGAAGTCCATAAAGGTTTTTCAAAAAAAACTAAAAACATAATTTAAATTAATTATATCATGTTCAACAAATTTACAATAATTATAAATTAAACACTAATATATATAGCAGAGTATTACAAACACAAATTTTAAATCAATATTATATAATACCACTTATAACAGTTGTAATACAGAAAAGTTAGAAAAAATAATAAATTTTGATAAAATTTATAATATTTATATATTAAAAACGGAATCTGTATTGTGTGAATATGACCATATCATAATACAATAGTTAGTCATGCATTTTTATAAGATATTAACAGTTGTATAAAGTATCTAATGATTAATAAATATCATGTTTTCTCAAAGATCAAGTTGTATCAGAAATTCAGAAATTAGAGCAGCAAATCGTGAATCATTTAGGTGAAAACTGAAAGTTGCTGCATATTACCTACAAAAATAACTATGAATACGGTATCTAACAATTAGATAAGGGAATATGAAATCGGTATAAATACAATTATGTGTGTCCAGAGTTCCAATGTTCATGTTTCTAATCAATAATACTGTAGAATTCATTATTTTTTTTTAGTTCCAATTAAAGTTGAAATAAATATATTAGTTTTAAATTAAATAAGGTAGGTATATAGTGTGTAATAAAAAAATAAAAATTAATTTTAACGCAAACCTGAAATTTAAACTACATACAAAATATTGCATACTTACCACGGTATTTATTTTACATGTATTTTTAAAGGATTAAAGAACGGTACTTCAAACGAAAAACTTTTTTTTTCTTAAATATATTGTACAATAAATTACAAAATATTTTATACGTTTAGTAACAGCCGTAAGTACGTGACTCAGATGTACCATACGATTATTCACTATATTTATGTAATATATGTTATATTTGTATACAGTAGTAATAATAGTATATTATGTAAGATTTTCGATATTTATACTACAGCTAACTATTCAAATCTAAATTTTAAACTACGAAATATATTTATTTCAAAACAATCAATATTTTTTATATTTTTATTGAACAGCAATCCATAAAGTTACAAAATGTACTCAAATTTAAATAGGTTATTTAATAAATGGTTTACAAGTTTATATAAAAATAATTTTAAATAAAATAAGATATATTGCAATTTAAAATAGCGTGATTTTTCGGTCAGTCGTTAAGAAGTTATTCGGTGTACCTACTTCATCATTGAATAGGTCATTTTAATTAATGTGTAATGTTTGATAAATTATTGCATATTTACATACAGAATAAGATTTTAAACGGAGACGATAACAGCATATTATATTTCCAAGAATATTTGTAGCTATACCTACGCTAAACGTTTTATTTATTTCCAAAAATTCCCCTGTAGTAATTAAATTGAAAATGTTATACATTTTTAACAGCTAAATTATTTAACTCTAAACACGCTTACAAAAAAAAAATTGTGACTATGTATTTTCAATATTTTTTAATTTCTTTAAAAAGAACTCCATACAAATATTTTAAGTTTTTAGCTTAGAAAAAAATTATAGTATGTCTAAAAACTACTTATACCTATATATATTTAGTACATTTGAAAACATAAAAAATAATTTGTACAGACTGCATGATAAACCCAATATTTTATTATGTTTAAAAATTAAGAGAATAGAATGATTTTGGATACATTTGGAAAGCCGATAATGGCATCATAAAAAAAGTACTAACTGAAACCATACATAAAAAAAGACTAATTAGGTTAACAACATACAAAATGAAAAAATTCAGAATTCTATAGAAAAAAATATCAAAATGTTGGAAAAATGTACTTACCTGACATTTAGTAGAAGAAATGGAGAGAATTGTTAGAAACAGCTTAGAACCTCGAGGGCTATTAAGCTAAGAAAAGTAGAAGAAATAAATTTATAGGTTATTCACTTTTGAATTTCAAAAAAAATCGATTGGTTTTAGTAAAAACTTAAGTAAACAATCTCATTTTTGTAGTGTTTTTAAGTATTCTGCTTTTAACAATAGTTGATCTTCCTTTTCTCCTAAAATACAAATTAAATGCAATTTTCTACCAAAAATCAGTCTCAATGTTTAAAGTGAATCAATGAAAGTTTTTTCTACATTAAAAAATGAAGTATCTTCAGATATATATGTCACTGTAAAACTGAAATATACATTGCTCCATTTGAACAAATAAATACAATTGCCCATAAACCAATGATGTAAAAAACAACTAATATCAAATTTTGTAATATTGATTTCATCAGAAACTAATGAAAATAATATTTTTCAAGTTAACACAGAGTAGATTATTTCATTACAATATGATAAATACGAAAAACTGTATATTTATAGTAATACATAACATATCAACGGTTTTGAAAAATAGGATTTACCAAATTATATTAAGTACTTGTATTACATATTTGGAAGTAAAATATATGCATCAAACAGCTAAATTATACTATCAAATATTTCAACACTTGTCTTTGTCTAATTTCAAACCGGATCACATTTATCGAATAATTAACTAAGAACTATTATTATTAAAAACATCAAACTTATACATTAAAAACCGTGTATCGACTATTACGGTTTAAAACACCTTTCGCCCATTTTCTTCATTATTTCTTAACTAATTTTTTACATTGTACTTTTACAAGGTTACAAAAAGAGATATTGTACATATAACTTAAGACATGCATTACAATAATATGACAAAGATTTCATTTGATGTAGGATTAGAATACCTACCTGAAAAATGTCGTTAAAATTGAATCAGAATAAATTTATTGTACTATAATAATAAATTATTATTAATAATCATCATTTATATAATTATTGAACATGTCAATCAAGTGGCGTATTTACGGAAATATAGCGGATACCGCTCTCACTATAAATGGTTTTTTATTTTTGAAATTCAGCCATAGTAATTATTAAAAAATGCCCATTATCTTCGTTACATCAATATTTTATAACGAGATGATCATTGGTTTAAATATTATAAGTTCAATAATATTTCCGAACACGTTTTGTATTCAATATTTCAAAGTAATGTTTATCTGTGATTTGTTTTGTATTACCAATAATTTATTTATTTATTTATTCTTTTTTATTTTTATCGATGAAACCGTGATCTTAAGTTAAAAATATTCTATAATATGTTATCGCATAATTATCTAACTCTTTCAGAAACCAAATATATTAAATACGATATAGAATAGGAGATTATAGTGGGCTAGTCAGAACTCAATAACCCACTACTATACACGATAATGGCAGAGAATCCAGAAGGGAAAAAATCTTTTGGATGACCCCTTTTAAGATAGGAAGACCTGATAAAAAGAGGCGTAGAATTTTTAAATGGAAGTTCAGACTGGAAAGAAAGAACAACTGACAAGGAGAATGAAATTGGAGGATTAATTGTACGACTAAATGGTCTAGACTCTAGACTCTCAAGTCTAGAGGCAGTGGCGGATTCAGCAACGTCCCCCTCCCGTAAGCTAGTTGAT